TGGGGCAACCCTAAATGTAAGTATTAAAATCATTAAGAACAGTTTGGCTTCGTACCCAGGCTTGACTTGTTTTAAAAACGGTTAGACAAAGGGGGGGCAGGGCATTCCTGACACTATAACCACTATGTTATGTAACTTGGAGTGCTCCTTTAGCTTGTATGCAAAGACAATAGAATAAACAAAAAATAGTTACATAGTTATTGTGATGTATGGGCGGTTGGGCTGTGTATGAGTGTGTGAGTGTATGTATTGTGATGTATGGGCATTGGGGCAGTTGAGCTGTTGTTGGCTGTGAATGATGCACTTCCTTTCTTTTGGTTCTTTACTTCCTGTTCCTGTTGGCAGTTGGTGGAATGTTCGAAGGATTTGAAATGGCGGCTGCAGAAACCCTGTGTAACAAGGCTGCAATATGAAGATCCTGTTATATATGTATTAATAAAGTGAGTACTTCGTTATACAGGAATTATTGGCTTATTTGTACAAATATCACTGTTATATATGCTGTATATATAAAATAATCCCTGACATAATGGTTTTAAATTATATATACTATGCAAGTTTAAGGTCGTTAAAGTTAAGATTATTGATATCTACCTTGTATTTTCTATTTAAATGTGGCTTGGTGTACAACTAGACAGACAATCTTCTATAACAGTGGGTTTGGTGCCACCAAGTGGAAATAGATGATAAGTGTGATGTCTCACACTTCAAAGGAACTCTCTAAGCACCATAACAAAGTGTGCCTTTGTGGTTATGGTGCTCTCCCCCATTTTAAGTAGTCAAACCATTTGCATTGAGGCACAGGTTCCAGACTCTTTGCAGCTGTTAAAGAAGGCCAGAAGCTCCCACTAGGACGGGAGCTTCTGACTTTGTTTCGGTAGCCAGGGCTGGACTTGGAAAGAAATTGGGCCCAGGCATTTTTGAGTCACAACGGCCCACTGAGAAAAGGGCGGGGCCAGAGAGGGGGTGTTTTGTCTTCATCAATGACAAGTACGCCCCCTCTCAAATTGGTTCAATGCTCTTCAAGGGTGCAGTGTGTGAGGAGTGCAATGTGTGTATGTGTGAGTGGTTCACTGTGTGTGACGGTTGAAGTGTGTATGAAAGACACAGTGTGTATGTGTGTGTTAACAAAATACACAGATTGGTGATTACTGTGTATAGTGCGCTTACAAATGTAATTGAGTTAAAAATAAGCAGCTACACACTCTAATGGATACTCTCTTATCCCCACTAATTATAGTAATGAACCAAAGTGAGCTTAGTACAATCTGGATACAACGTCCAGACTCTACTAATCAAATGAGTGGAGCGTTAAAGGTATAAACTTACCCTAAAATAGGATTAAATCTCAGATGTATATCAGTACATATAAAGGAAACAAAAAATAAAACACAATATAGTGTAAATCCACAGGTGATAATGTATTTTGGTGATAATTCAAGTAGTCAAACTCACATTGATCAGAGCCTCAAAGGGACAGGCTCAAATCACTTGCACAGTAGTGTCATATGGAGACACTGCACCCTTTTGCCTGGAATGGATTTCCTCAAAGGAGAGAGAAAGGGAGACTTCCTAGTGTATTAAGTTTCAACAAAAATAAAAAAACACAGTGGTTATGGTTGTGCTCACCTTTTCCTGAGCCAATGAGAACCTGGCTCTGGATGATAGACCTGGGTACCTCTAGAGGGGGGCACCTGCCCTTCTTTATCAGCAAGATGAAGTTAGAAGCTGATGGGAATTGATCAGAGCCTTAAAGGGACAGGCTCAACTCACTTGCACAGTAGTGTTGTATGGAGACACTGCACCCTTTTGCCTGGAATGGATTTCCTCAAAGGAGAGAGAAAAGGAGACTTCCTAGTGTATTAAGTTTCAGCCAAAATAAAAAACACAGTGGTTATGGTTGTGCTCACCTTTTCCTGAGCCAATGAGAACCTGGCTCTGGATGATAGACCTGGGTACCTCTAGAGGGGACACCTGCCCTTCTTTAGCAGCAAGATGAAGTTAGAAGCCGATAGGACTTGGTTTAAAATACATACATTTATTGCAACTTTAAATCTAAAAACAAAAACTAAAAGAAACTAATGTTGAATATAGTGAAATTATTCATACAGATTTAAAGGAAGCTTCTTCATTCTTTCCCAACCACCTAGTGTCAGAAGAAATGGTTGCATTTAAAAAAATGGTAATAAGAGACATGCAAAAAATAAGAAAGCCTAATAAATATGAACTGAATTTGGGAAGTGATGAAATAAAAGCATTAAAAGAATTCAAAAAAGATAATACAGTGGTTATTAAGCCCGCTGATAAGGGTGGTGGAATAGTAGTGATGGAAACTACTAAATACACTGAGGAATCCCTGAGATTACTAAGTGACGTAAACACATATAGGAAATTAAACAAAGATCCAACTAATGATTTTAAAGTTGCATATACAAAACTATTAGATAAGGGAAAGTCCCTAGGCATTTTAAATTAAAAAGAGTTCAAATGTCTTAACATTCCACACCCTAGAATTCCAGTATTCTATCAACTCCCCAAGATATACAAAACAAGGAAAACCCTCCAGGTCGACCAATCATTTCTAGAATTGGGTCAATTTCTAGCCGTTTGTCACAATATATTGACAAATGTTTACAACCAGCAGTGCAAAGGAGCCCAAGCCATTTAAAGGATACGTTAAATGTTTTACAAATTTTAAAAGATCAAAAGTGGGAGGAGAATTACTATCTAGTGATGGCTGATGTGAGCTCCTTATATACTATCATTACGCGGAGAAAGGGTGTGCTGCTACTAGACATTTTTTGGAACTATATAGATATTACCACCAAATCCTGATAGATTTCATTATTGAAAGTATTACCTGGATACTTAACCATAACTATTTCTGGTTTGGAGAGCATTTCTATGTCCAACAGTGTGGAACGGCGATGGGCACCAGGTTCGCTCCCAGCTATGCAAACCTGTTTATGTCCCATTGGGAGACCTGTTATGTATATGGGGATCATGGCTGGGGGCAGAACCTGGTGCTATACTGCCGTTATATCGACAATATACTCTTTATTTGGAGGGGAGACAAGATCTCCCTTCAGGATTTCTTAATATTTTTGAATACTAATGACTGGGGAAATCACACTAATTAGTGAGCATAGTCAACTAGCCATTATTTTTTTAAACTTGAATATATATATTGAAAATGGCAAAATTGAATCAAAGACTCATTTTAAAAAGGTTGACATCAATAGTTATATAGAACGAAAAAGCTGTCACTTTTCACCATGGTTGCTTAATGCACCAAAAGCTCAACTATTGCGAATGAAACTTAATTGTACAGAAATGAGCACATTTGAAACCCAGTCTGAAATAATTTAAAAAAAAATGTAGATTATACTAGCTTTAGTGTAACTATAATCTTAATTTTATTAATGACAATTTTTTTAAATTGACCACGAACCCCAGGTGTTCCAACAAGGAGATCGCAGAGCGCGTCTGATATCTGAGCCTGGAGGGGTCCTCGCAAAAGATCAGCAAGTCGTCCAGATATATTATGCAGCGGACACCCTCCGACCTGAATCGGACGACCACCGGCTTCAGGAGCTTGGTGAAGCACCAAGGAGCCGAGCTGAGGCCGAAGGGGAGGCATGTAAATTGGCATGGAATGCCCTTCCATAGGAAGCGAAGGAATCTGCAACAGTCCTCGTCCACTGGGACGGAGAGGTAGGCGTCCTTCAGGTCCAGTCTCATGAACCAGTCTCCCGGCCGGAGAAGGTCCCGCAGAAGATGAATGCCCTCCATCTTGAAGTGGTTGAAGACCACGAAGGTGTTCAATTCTCGTAAATTGATCACTGGGCGGAACTCCCCGGACTTTTTCTTCACTAGGAAAATCGAGCTGAAGAAACCACCAAAATCCGGGGCACTTTGAACAGCGCCTTTGGCTAACAGTGCCCGAACTTCCATATCTATCAAGGACTACTGTTCTCTTGCGATGATGGGGACCCTTGGGGGTCCAACCTGTGTTGGAGGGGAATGGAAATCTATGACATAACCCCGTACCGTCTGAAGGACCCATACATCTGAAGACACCTCCCGCCACCTGTCTCTGCAGTGAAACAGTCTGCCCGCATGCAAAGTAGGGTGAACGAAAGTGGTAGGAGGTGCACTCACTTGCAGGAAACATCGCCCGTCCTCTGGCGCGGTATCCGCGACCTCTATCCGCCCTCTGAGCGTAGGGGGTTCTGGAGTGGTATGACGGAAAGAAGGACGGACCACGGGATCTGTGGCGGCCCGAGGACCAGCCGCGGCTGGAGACACGACCCCGCTGTCGTCCAGCCCGTCCAAAAACCCGGGATGATTGCGGCCAAAAAACCTTCTTAATGGAAGATTGAGCTTTATCCAGGGAGGTAAACAGGTTGACGTGCTTCTGTAGCTCCTTAATGAAGGGTTCCTCGAACAATAGGCCCTTAGCCATGGGGCCCAATTCTTTGGAGCCCAGTCCCGATAGTTTGTTGTCCATACGGAACCGAGCCATCTTCCTGCGCTCAGTGCAGAGGGCCACATTGGCATTGCCTAGCAGGCAAATGGAACGTAGTGCCCAGTCCCGCATGGTGGCCGGATCCAGGTTCGTACCTTCTGTGTAGGCCTCGTCTGCTAAGGCCAACATCCTGCATAGGGGTCCCAGCACGTCCAGCTGCTTATCTTGCGCTGACCGGAGGCTACGAGGCCTTCTTGTGGGGTCCCGACCCGAACGGGTCAAATACGTGGCCACCAAGGGGTCAAACTCCGGGGTCGCTGCCACCTTGTCCGGCAGGACGGGTCTGGGGCATTCCGCCCTCAGTTTCTTGCGGGCCTCCCCTTCAAGGGGTCTGCGGACCCAGTAGTGCATGAACTGTGCCAAGTGGTCGGGCAACGACCATTCTGAGGACCTGGGGTGTCGGATAGGCCGAGGGTCAAACAGGGGTTCTCCCGAAGCATCCAGAAAGGTCTCGTCTCCCGGCACCGCCGAGGGGGCCTCTGTCCCTGGCGCGTCTTCGTCCTCCCAGCGCCAACTGGGGCCACGGTCCCCACGGTCCTCAACCCAATCTCCATCTTCATCTGAAGGGGACTGGTCTGCCCGCCACTCATCCAACACGGCCATAGTAGGGGGGGTAAGGAGGCCTCCTCCCCTGCGCCCGATATACGACGGCGCCTGCCCAGCAAGGTTGATAACCTCGAACCATGTCGCTTCGCCGGAGTCTTGCACTTCCGGGAGCGTGGTTCAGGGCCTTCACCCTTCCAATAGCGCATTTGCGCACTTGCCTGCTCTCTTTCCTGAGAGTCTGACTCAGCCGAGTCGTCTGCCAAAAGGGGGGTTCCTCTCGCACCCCTGTCAGTCTGAGGTTGAGGAAGAGCCCTCGCCAGGGCTTTCTTCACAGAGGCGGCCACAGCCGCATTAATCAATGCCTGCAAGTTTTGCTCCTGCGCAGTGGCTTCCATGACGCCTGAGATACGGTACGTGATACCTAAGGAGACAGAGAACAGTTATCAGTAGCAGGCAGTAGGGGCAGCACCCCTAGTATGGCAGAGGCAAGTATCAACGCATGCAGGCTTAACAAATCTTGTTCCAGGGTAAGGAGCCGTCAGGTCAATAGCATGCGTAGTATGGCACAGACAGAGCAGGCCAATCACGGGGCACAGACAAAGCAGGCCAATCAGGGGGCACAGACAAAGCAGGCCAATCATAAGGGCACAGACAAAGCAGGCCAGTATATGGGCACGGGCAGCACCGGCCCAGTGGTATGTGAGGCAGGAGCGTAGGTCCTAATGGTAGACATGCGGGTATATCTTGACATACAGTGTGTGTAGGGCAGAGGTGCAACCGGGTGCAATGACAGCACAGTGATGCTAAGCAAGTCCCATGCAGTGAAATGACTAGAGCCACCTATATCCCAGGGGACATGCAGCAAAATCATGCAAATTTAGTAACATGCACTGAAGAAAAAACTGCAGGCAGGAGTAGAGAACACCAAACCTGCCCGTAGGAACCTAGAAAAACCTGTAGGAATGACCCCCCAAACATAGGGGGCTGAACAGTAGCCCAACATAAAATAAAAATAAAAATAAATTGGGCACTGCGCCCTTAAGGAATAAAGGTGCGTGCGGCAGAGACTGAACAGAGAGCCGCTCACCCCCGTGGCCGGCCACGTGGTCGCGGGGGGAAAGGGAGCCCAGAAGCGGAGGCAGCTGCGGCAATAACCCAACACCCTGCTCCGTCCCCACGCCGCTCGGGAAACAGCAACAAGCGACCGGGGACGCGGGCAGGGCAGGAAGGCAAGGATAGGATTCCCGCTCGGCGGACAGGAATCAGTACCAGAAACACGTGGGACCGCCGGAGTCTTACTCCGCGGTCCCGACGGCGGCACGGGAAGCGGTCGGGAAACCGCTTCTCGGCGACCGCAGAAAGTAAACAATCAAAACCCAAAAGAAGGGAAAAGAAATAAAAGAGAAAGGAAAAAAAAAGGGGACACAAGTAACAGATAAGTAAGGCAATGCCCAAACACAAGGATAAACACAGCAATAAGAAACATAAACACTGATAATCCAAGGCAAGAAAACATAAGAAAATCACCAAATATAAATAATAATAATAGACACACAGTCACCCATAGAAAACAGGAGGCAGTGGTACTCTGACCTGTACTGTCTGCGGAGCAGCAAAGAAAGAGGAAATGGTGGCTTAGGAGGAGCCTTATATAGATACCTTATGTTTTTGTCTTTGGTGTTTATCTCTCTATGTTAATGTGCTGCTGTGGAGTTCAAGTAAAGAGAGACTTAAGCAAATATGAAGCCTCCTGTCATGCTATAAAATTTTAAGGATAAGGGGTATCAGGAAAATCTTTTGAGAAAATCCCTTGAAGAGGTACAAGAAAAAGACAGACTAAGCCTGCTCCAGTACAAACAACCTATTAAGCTTGGAGATAATATGCAAGTATCCTTTATATGTGACTTTAAATCTAAAAGCCACATTTTTTAAGAAAATTATGAATAAGTACTGGCCAATTTTAAAAGAGGACCCCTTTTTGAATACAATTCTGTCTGATCACCCCAGGATTGTTTATAGGGGAGTAGAGAACTTGAAAGATAATTTAGTGTGTAATCATATTAAACAAACTAAATCTACACTAAGTATATTCAATGAGTGTGCAGGTTTCTACAGATGCGGCACGTGTAGTGCCTGCAAAAATACTGGAAATAAAAAGAGAACAATTAAAAAATTCCATAATCCACAAAAAACAAAAAGAGACATACAATATTAGGGAATTCATTACATGCTACTCAAAAAGAGTCATATACCTGGTATGTACCTGTGGGCTAGGATATATAGGAAGGACAGCAAGACCTCTCCAAGTTCGTATTCAGGAGCATATAAGAAATATTAACAATGGCTTTGAAAAACACAGTTTGTCTATGCACTTTAAACAACATCACAATCAGGATCCAAAACAATGAAATTTTATTGGTATCCAACTGGTTAAAACAAACTGGAGAGGGGACGAACTTATTAAAAAAATGGGACAGGTAGAGATGAAATGGATTTTAAACTTAGGGTGATGGGTGTCGGCGAACCAACCTGTTCTACCACCTTTTTTTTGCTCGAGGGTATGTGCCCACAAGCAAGATGGCTGCAGTGTGTGTTTTAACGGTGCAGTGTGTATGAAGGGTGCGTATGTCTGTGTGAAGAGTGCAGTGTGTGAGGAGTGTAGTGTGTGAAGGGTGTAGTTAGTTTGTGTGTGTGTTTGATGTGCAGTGTGTGAGGGGTGCGGTGTGAGGCTGTGTGTGAGGGGTGCAGTGTAGAAAGGTGCAGTGTGTGAATGAAGAGTGCAGTGTGTCAGGAGTGAAGTGGGTGAAGGGTGTAGTTAGTGTGTGTGTGTGTGTGTGTGTGTGTTGGTGTGCAACAAATGTTTTTTTTGGTTTTCTTTTAAATCTATAATTTATATCCCCCCTCCCTTCTTACCTTTGCCTGGGAGGGGGGACATATAGGTGAATCCCTTGAATCTCTGGTGTTCCTAGTGGTGAGATGAAGTCCTAGAGTTCAATGTTGCAAGATCGAAACACTGCCATGGTAACCATGGCTACACTCCGACCTCGCGAGAGGAACCCGGAGGAGCTGCAAGATAGAGCTCCCACTGGGGTCACACACATTGTTCTATTTTTGTATTTATATTCTAATAGAAATAAAGTTTTACTTGGTTATTTCGTTGAAAGTGCCTCTGAGTCTCAGTGTGACAACCAATAGAGGGATTTAAACCCTGCAATGCAAACATTGCTGTTTCTGCAGAATGTCGATGTTTTCAGTTGCAGGGTTAAAACTAGAGGAACATAGCACTCAGACAGATGCATACTAGGGTCTCTAGCGTCCTTGGCGAGGAGCTCTATCAGTGCCCCCTCCCCCCCCAGCAACCAATCATGAAAAAGTAAACATTTCTGATAGTGTGATGGGATTCCAGCATGGTCAAAATTTAGTAGGCCAAAATCTCCATGTGGCATATGTGTATGTTGTGTCAGTTGGTTAGCTACATGTAGCTAGGATACTGTCATCAGTGTACTGAGCATGTGCAGGAATGCAGGAACTGAAATTGCACTTATTTCCTTTGTCTTGGATGAGCCATGTGGTTTGACTAGATGTACAAGTCTATATTCTGCTCATTGATTGGTTAAAGGTATATGTGGGTGTAGCTATTAATGGGAGGAGTTATAGTGCTATATAAGGAATGTACACTATGTGTTGGTCTCTCAGATCTTTTGGAACAGGAGTTCATCTGAGACCCGATCGGTAATGTGAATAAAGGCCTGTTACTTCCTGAAGACCTGGAAACACTGCAACATTTCTGGTGCAATTGGCCCGGGAACCTCATTTGCACGGAAGCTGGCACAGAGATTTGAGACGGTAAACTTTTACCAAACCTTCTACGCTACAATCCTGGACTTCTACTGCGTGGACCTCCTTTCGTCTCGGCGCCACTGGCCTTTTGTCCAGGAGATCATCGGCTTCTGCGCAGTGAGTCCCGGATTGTTCCGTCTATGAGTGAACCCAGGTCCAGAAATTAACAGGTAAGATTGATACCGTTAGAGCGGTAGACCCACAAGGGGTTTTATATTTGGAACCGGTTAGTGGTATTGGCCCCTTCAATAGAAGGAAGAAGTGAAAAGCGCAACACTTATCTGGAAATTAGACGCTCTGTAGTCAGCCCGTCTAATATAGGTGGTTTGGGTCAGACTGAGTTCTGGTGTAAATAGCTCATGTCGGACACCGGTGTCCTGTCTTGACTAGCGAATCTAGGGTGTAAATTTTGTTCGCTAGGTCGGGGGGACCGGGAGACTAGCATACTCTGTTGTATATTATAGTTTGCTAGATTTCACCCTATCTTAACTAAGTGTGCTCTGTTGTAAATCCAGCCACTAGCTTATTGATAGTTTAATAGACTAGCTGGGTACTGTGTAAATTCTGCCCTCTAGTTCGCTATACGTGGTGTCTGGGCAGCGAAGAACTTATCGAATCTCTGGTGTATAAATAGATCGAAAGCTCTCGAGGTGCTGGCCAGTTAGAATAGTTGGGATTATTGTAAATGTTGTTAAATATATTGTAGTTGGTGAATTGGTTAACTTGTATGTCCTACTAGAAAGTTAGAGCTCTGCTGTCTAGTGGGAGTGTAAATTGTGTGAATAACTGTAAAATAGCGCACGGTACCATAACTACTGACATGTACCATAACCACTGACATTGTGTAAAAATTACTAACAATTGCTGTTTTATGTTATATGTATAATACCATAACTGTTACTAACTGATCTGTGACTTTAAAACTGTATTATAACCACTTACTAACTGTACCATAACCACTAACTGTAAAGATGAGGTTACTAGAATGTGATATAGGTGGTTAGTCAAAAGTTGATTTATAGTACGGATAATTGTAGAGATGAATTTGTTGAAATGTTATGTGATCGGTTAGTTTATATGGATTAATAGCGTGGATAGTTGTATGGTTTGAATAATAGTTACATTGATAAGTGTATAGTCTTTGGTGGGGTTTTTTTGATTTAATTTCGTGTGTGCGACGTCGTGATATTGTTGAGCATGTGAGGATCCTGTGTGTGTGTTTGGGCCTAGTGACTGCGCAATGTGTTGCTGGTGATAAGGAGATTGGTGTGACTGTTGAAACTGTGTGTATATTTGTACAGCTTTTTGAATCAGACGTTCTGTTGAAATAATCTGATTCACTAGGCTGTTGTCTTGTATGTTTAAAAAAAGAAAAAAAAAAGTAGGGAGTAGCCTGTCCTGGTGGCCGCATGGCCTCCATGTAGCAGTCTTCACTTAAATTTAGTGCAGGGTGTACATGTGGCTGTAACTAGTAGGCTGGAATTCTATGATCAGTTTCTATATATTGACTGTTGGAAACTGATTGTTGAAAAACTGCCTTGGTGAATTAAACTGTGTCATATGAGAAACAATGTAGCCATATG